GAAGTCTGGTGTGCTGCAGCCCATGGGGTTGCAAAGAGTCAGACATGACATAGTGACTGAACAACAACAACTTGGGAAGTCTGTTTGGCAATATGTATTAAGTGGAACATACATTTATCCAATACCTTGACAATTCTACTCCTAACTATGTGTGGAACAGAAATGCATACATATGCTCACCAAAAGACATAGGTAAAAATACTCATTTCAGCACTATTCCTAATAGGTCTACCTGGGAAATAATCCAAGTGTGCATTGATGTAGCAACTTAGCAATATCACTGATAGTAGAATTTATAAAGACATTGTGTTATATCCAAACCATTGTTGACTTAAAAAGTGTTCATAACCTAAAAGTTGAGAGCAATGTTTATCCCGTGGAAATTTTTAGGACTTCAAGCCTGGAAGACAGCATCTCAAGTGACCCTGAGTCAACTGCTCTGAGCAGGTAGGGGGAGGGGCCATGTTATAGAGAAATTTTGCAACAAAGGGCAGGTAGTCTGAATATCAAAAGATTGTTGTTAATTAAAGAAAACCAGATAACCCAAGTTAAGGGATTTAGTGCTTTTGGGGCATACCTGGTGTCTGGAAAATCCCATGGACAGAGGAGCCTGGTAGGCTGCAGTCCATGGGGTTGGGGAGTCGGACACGACTGAGCGACTTCACTTTCACTTTTCACTTTCATGCATTGGAGAAGGAAATGGCAGCCCACTCCAGTATTCTTGCCTGAAGAATCCCAGAGATGGGGGAGCCTGGTGGGCTGCCGTCTATGGGGTTGCCCAGAGTCGGACACAACTGAGCGACTGAGCGCGCACACACACACACACACAAACACACATATGGGAAGATGTAAGAGTCTGGCTCACTGAGACTACCCCTTTCACATGCATCTCAGCCATCTGGGACCAGTATCCTGTTTTCACATCCTGAGCTTCCTTTCCTCAGGGCTTATTGTAGGGAGTGGGTAACAGTCTGATGACTGCTAGATGGTAGATATTCTCCTTCCTGAGTTCCCTCAGGGCTCACTGGCTCATGTTGGAGGGCTGCAATCACTGATGACTGTGACATCCCTGTTTACAGATATGGCAGGAAATATTCCATTTCTCATTATGTCATACTATAAAGCAATGAAAATCAAGGAACTCCTATTGCTATTCACAACAACCAGGACGACTCTCATTACTATAATGTTAAATGAAAGAAGCCAGACGCAAAAGATTATATTTGGTACGATTCCATTTAGAAGACGATCAAGAACAGGCACAAGCTATTTTAATGGTTAGATGTCAAGGTAATGGTTACCTTTGGAGGACAAGGTGGGTAAAGAGTGGGAAGGGGTTTGCAAGCTGCTTCTAAGTGCTGCTAACGTGTTCCTTTTTGCTTTGGGTAGTGATTACATAGATGTGTACACTCTGTAAACAATTCATCTAGTTATACAATGATACTTTGAACACTTTTCTTGGCTGGGCTGTGACATATCTATAGGTCCTCTGATCAACAGCTGGCCTCTGCTAAGGCAGTTTAGGAGACTCAGCTGTGCTACGTGGCCTTGAGCAGGCTAGCCCAGGCCTGTTCTCCTGGTAATGGCTGTGGGGCAAAAGGGCAGTGTTCAAGTCCACTTCAAGCCTCTGCCTTCATCATATCTGCTAACATTCCATTGTCCAAAGCAAGTCACATGGTGGAAACTGGAATCAAGGGGTAGGCAGGTCACTCCATTCACGGTGGGTGGGTCCTGCAAAGTCACATGGTAAATGTGCCTGTTTCAAGGGAGGGTGATGAATTGGGCCATCAACACAAGTCTACCAGTTAGTGGGAGAAAGAAAAAGAAGTTAATGACAATACAGTGAAACACATACAATAACTGAGAGAAATACAGGGTCCTTTAAGGGCACAGAATGAGGCACATTTTATATTTTATCTGACATCAAAATCATTCACGGAAAAAATTTATGCATGGACATTTCCCCTTCCAGACTATGAACTTTTCTATATGCTTCATTTTCACATCTTCCAGCTCTTGGCATAGTGCCTTGCATAAAATGGCACTTCAATGTTTGTGAAATAAGTGCTCAGTCATAAAGGTAGTAATTTCCTCTTTGTCCATTTTTATTTCAGACTCTAGGAGAAGAATGAGACCTGCATATGTAGCAAGACACATTTTTACATTTTACAGCCATTTTAGTGAACTCATAAACTCCATTCATAGAATAGGCTCCTGTCAAGCGAAGGGTTGGAGGAGTTCCAGCACAGAGATGGGTGGAATCATTCAAATTTTGATGTGTGCCTTTTTGTTTTGCTGGTGGTGGGGTGTCTTCTATATATTTTTAGAACTTGCAGTAAAATATACGTAACATGACATTTACCATTTTACCCATTTAAGTGTAAAGTTCAGTGGCATTAGGTACACTCAAACTATCGTGCAACTGTGACCACCATCTGTCTCTGGAACTTTTTTTCATCTTCCCAAACTGAAATTCTGCACCTATTAAACAACAACTCCCCATTCTCCCTGCTCCCCAGCTCCTGAAAATCAGCACTTTACCTTCTGTTTCTACGAACTGGACTACTCCAGCTGCCCCCTATAAGTGGGCTCATACAGTCCTTTTGTGGCTGGCTTATTTCACTTATAATGTCCTCAGGGTTGTAGCATGTCCACATGTTGTAGCATGTGTCAGAATTTCCTCCCTTTTTAAGGCTGAATGATATCCCATTGTATTTATATACTTAATTTTGTTTATTCATTCATCTGCTGATGGACACATGGGTTGCTTCGATCTTTTGGCTATTGTGAAGTAATGTACAAAGCAAATTCCACCCAAGTATGGAATTTTGGACAGAGGAGCCTGGCGGGCTACAGTCCATAGGGTTGGACATGACTGAAGTGACTTAGCACATGGAATTCTGGGGTGGAAAATGCCTCTTCACTCAATTTGAAAGTGAGTGGAATCACAGCCACATTAGGGCAGTATGGCTAAAACTCATGGCCTAATTAACTTTCACCAGATGTCACTTTAAAAATAGAGATTCTGATCATGCTAATAAAAATAGGGATTTCTGATAAGAAAATAAGAACTACATTTCTGAAGGTGATAAAATTGGCTGAGAATTTAAGAATAGGATGAGACATTAAACCAAGCCTCATTATTAACCCCAGGAATGATATCCAGAGGGTGGCAGGCACCATGATTTCAAAACTAGTCTTGTGGGTGGAAGGTCACAGGTAGACAGACACAGGCCATTTCTAAGGTTGGCTGCTTCGGCCTAGATGTCACATTCCCTCAACCAAACAACCGCTTCCCTGCCTGGCTAACCTCTAATTGATTCCTTGACAGCCAGTCCAACACCTCTTCCTCAGGAAAGGTTTGCTTGATCTAGGCCCTCACCTTGAAGCCTGGGTCGGGCTTCTCTCCCTGTTCCTCCCTCAGTTCAGTGACTGCCTGGCGCCCCTCCATGGAGGAATGAGGACTGGCTGGCCTCTACCCCAGCTGCTCAAGACTCAGTCAACACTCATAGGATGGATGTGTTGACTTAAAAAAGTATATATCCACAAACTAAAAGTTGAGAGCCATGTTTAATTTGGTGGGAATTTTTAGGACTTCAAGCCTGGTAGACAGCATCTCAAGTGACCCTGAGATAACTGCTCTGAGGAAGGAGAGAAGCCAGAGTACAGAGAAGTTTGGCAACAAGTGGCAGGCAGTCTGAACATCAAAAGGTTATTGTTAATTAAAGAAAACCAGATAACCCAAGTTAAGGAATTTAGTGCCTTTTTATGTATGGGAAGATGCAAGAGTTTGGGCTCATTGAAATCTTTCCTTTCATGTGTATCTGAGCTATCCTGCGCCAGTACCCTGTGTTTTTCACATCCTGAATTCCTTTGGGACTCAGGCTGCCATCTGACAGCTGCCAGATCTCAGGTATTCTCCTTCCAGAGTGCCCTTAGGGCTCAGCAGCTCACAATGGAGCGCTGCAGTCGCTGATGACTGTGACAATGTTGTGTACTGATATGGCAGGAAATAGTCTGTTTCTTAGATGAGTGACTCCTCCATTGAAACTGCCACAAGTACCCAAGCCAGGTGGTCAGTGGAGCCAGGCCATGGGCACTGGGTGCAGGAGTGGAAGCTGCAGGGACAATACCGCCCTTGCTGCGAGCACCCTCTCCTGTCACGCTGTCACGCCCCAGCTGTCCTGCAGCAAAGCAGGCCAAGTGGAAGGGCCTCAGAGAGCAGAGAAAATCTCAGTGTCCAAAATACCAAAGAAGCCATGTGAACATCAGAAGGGGGAAGACTGACCTGAAGGCTGGGCTGCCCGGAGGCCTGCAGGGCGTGCTGCAGGGCTTGGCTGAAGAGATCGTTGGTGATGGGCGTCCCTGACTGGACGCTGGAGGACATTGGGGAGGTCCCTGAGGAGTGGCCCTAGAGACAGACCACAGTCAGTGCCACCCTCAGAGCCACTCCAGTCTCCCAGCACACACCCACTGCTGTCACATCACCCCAGGGTGCCCTGGGCGCCTCACCATTGCCTCCCAGCAGGGGCCAGCATGAGACAGCCACACAAAGCTACCTAAAAGCTCTCCATGTGGGCATAAAGGGTTCTGTACTCTTTTGCTCCAGGGAGATGGAATTGGACCCCTGACCGAGCCTAGGACCCACACTGGGAGAGGAGAAATGGCCCTGCCGATTGGAGTGACCATCACCAGGAATGCTTAAGCCTGTGATGTATGCTTGGCCACTTTCAGGAATAAGTAAGGAACCATTATGCGACAAGAGGTTCTTCCAACTGCTGAGACGAGTCATTCAGGCCTGGGATGAGCCCCAGACTTCTGAGCCTAAAGGCAGGTGAAGGGAGGTCACCTGAGCTGCAGTGGGAAACCCACTGGGGTTCCAGGTAGAGCTCAGATCAGAGCAGATGGAGCACAAGAATCAGCAAAGGTAAACCCACTCTACCACTGGGCCCTTCTCCCTGGGGGCCCAACCTGGACCTTCCCACCCCTTCTCTCCATACCTGGGTACCAGGAGTCGGCGTGTGAGAGCTGCTCTCCGGAGTGCTGGCCAGGGCCAGGGCGGTGGCCAGCTCGCTCTGGGTGATGGGCCGGGGCCCGGCAGCTCCACTGTACCCCAGGGAAGCTGGGCGAGAGCTGGGGGTGCTGCTTGAGGGCGTGGACCTGGCACTCTGGACAAGGGAGGTGCCTACATCAGGGCGGCAGCCCTGAGTGGTTCTCAGAAGAACCCCACCTCTGCTCCAGGAACAGTTCTTGGGGAGACTCCCCAGGCTGCCAGATTCACAGCAATAGAGTGACACACCTGGGCCCCCACAGGGCCTCTGACCAGCCTCTGCTGGGCTGCCAGGTCCCGGGAAGGGTGCCTCCCAGCACCATCTCCCCCAGATGGCAGGCAGCCCGGTCACTTACTGGGTGAAAGTCGTCCTCATCATCAGAGAGCCCGTCAAACAGGAAGCCACCTGGAGGAGGGAGGACAGATTTCAGGAGGAGGAGTAGGAAGGCACAGGCGCTGCTCCAGCATCTCGGCGCTAGTTACTCCAAATTCATGTTCTCATCTCTCCCCTGGAAAATTACAGGACAGATGCTCTCCCTGACTCAAACCCAGAGTTCCCAAGGAACACCCTCTGCCAGCACTATACATAGCTGCAAGTAAAGCAAAGTCCTGGGCCACTGCCTACTCCCCAGAGGGCCCGCGTCCCCCTGTCCTGGGGCTCACTTGGCATGTCCCGGTAGGCGCTGGAGGGCATGCCCCGGGAAGAGGAGTTGGCCCCCACCCCCCTCCCCCTGCCACGCTCTGACTAGGGCTGCTGGCAGTCTTTGAGCTTTACAGATCTTTCTGGCATGGCAGCGCGCACACTCACTCACCCAACCCACATGCTCCCTGTAGGGACCGCCTTGGACCCACAGAGCCATGTGCACGCACTTCCTGCGGTGCCATACTCCTCAGGCATCCAGGTGGCATCTTATCCTGCTTCCCGGTTCCTGTGCTGGCTCCCTACGGCTCCAGACAATAGAGTTGTGAGGTCTGCTCCTTGGGAAGCCTTCGGAGGTGCTGGCTTTCCAGAGCAGCAGCAGCATGCCAGGCTGCAGGGGAGCAAGGCTTCGGGTGATGGACATCAGAGCGGAGGTCGTGCTACCCACGGCCAGCAGACAGACTGAGCCAGGGCAGGACCGCAGGCAGATCCCAGCACGAGGAGGCAGAATCAAATGCCTGACCCCACTCAGTCCCTCACGGCCTTCTGGCTGGCCTCCAGCCTACAGGAGTAAGCGGTGCCAGCAGCCAGGGGAGACTTGCCACTTGCTCTCCCCTCAGAGAGGAGTGGTGGGGAGGGTGAAGGTAGGCGGAGGATGGATGATGTGTGGGGAGCACTCAAAGCCCCACCATTGCTTTGTTGTGAGAACACTAGGAATTTTCAACTTGGGCTGTTTCTCCCCCTTTATCATTTTTCCTCCCATTCCCAGGCAGCAGTCTTCTGGGCTGCCCTGTCACACACAAACACCTTCCTCCCCAGATGGTCTATGCTTAGAGAATTTAAACTCATTTCTATGTGAGTGGGAGGGGATAAAATTAAGAAGACATTTTATTATCATGTTGAGGTAGTTTCCTTTTATTGCTTTTTGCTGAACATTTTTATCTTGAAAGGGTGTTGAATTTTGCCAATGTTTTTTCTACATTGAGATGTGTATGTGGTTTTCCCCCCTTCATTTTGTTGATGTGGTATATTACATCGATCACTTTTTGTGTGTTGAACCATTTTTGCAATCCAGGAATAAATTTCACTGGGTCATGGTGTGTCATGGTGCATCTTTTTGATATGCTACTGAATTCTGTCTGTTAGTATTTTGTGATTTTTGTATCAATGTTTATAAGGAATATTAGACTGCAGTTTTCTTGTAGTGGCTTTGTCTGGCTTTGATGTCAGGGTAATATCCTTGTAAAATTATTTAGAAAGTGCTCCCTCTTCTTTAGGCCTTTGGAAAAGTTTGAGAAGAATTAATATTATTTATTTAAATGTTTGGCAGAATTCACCAGCGAAGTCATCAAGTCCAGGAATTTTCTTTGTTGGTAGTTTTTTGTTTTCATTGTCTTTTTTTTTCCAAAAGTTTCCCAGCATCATGTAGTTAATAAATTTTTGATTACTGATTCAATCTCCTTACTAGTTATAGGTCTATTCAGATATTCTATTCATGGTTTAATCTTTGTAGGTTTTGTGTTTTTAGCAGTTTGTGCATTTTATTTAGCTTATCCAATTTGTTAGCATAGAGCTGTCATAGAACTCTCCTAAAGTCTTTTCTATTTCCATAGAATCGGGTACTGCTTCCATTTTCATTTCTGATTTTAGTAATTTGAATCTTCTCTCTTCTTAGTCTAGTTAAAGGTTTGTCAATTTTGTTGATCTTTTCAAAGAACCAACTTTTGGTTTTATTGATTTTTTCTACTGTTTTTCTCTTCTCTACTTCATTTATCTCTGCTCTAATGTTTATCATTTCCTTCCTCCTACTAGCTTTGGGTTTAGTTTTTTCTTTTTGTTTTAGTTCCTTAAGTTGTAAAGTAGGTTGTTGATTTGAGACCTTTGTTTTGTTTTCTTTTCTTCAGTTCTATTGAGGTATAATTGACATACAGCACAGCAGATTTACTCTGTTAACAACTTTCATATATAACATACAGCAGTGTTGACTGTATTTATCATGCTGTACATGATATCACATCCCTAAAATTTATTTATCTTATAACTGGAAATTTGTACCTTTTGATTCCCTTTATCCAATTCTCCCTCTCACTTCCCCCCACCTCTGGTAATCATAAATATGATCTCTTTTTCCATGAACTTGTTTGTTTTTGAAGTATAAACAACCTACAACACTATGTTAGTTCCTGTTACACAACATAGTGATTTGATATTTCTCTACATCTCAAAATGTTCACCACAGTAAGTCTAGTTACAACAGGTCACTATACAAAGATATTATGTAATTACTGACTGTATTCCCCACACTGCACATTTCATGTTCAAGACTTATTTATTTTGGAACTGGAAGTTTGTACCTCTTAATCTCCTTGATCTATTTCTTTTCTCCTCCTACCTCTCTCCCCTGTGGAAACCACCTGTTTAATCTCTGCATCTGTTTTGTTTTGTTCTATCTGTATCTCATTTGTTCTGTTGTTTAGGTTCTACACATACGAGAAATCATACAGTATTATCTTTCTCTGGCTCATTGTGCTTAGCATACTACCCTCTAGGTCCAGTCATGTTGTCACGAGTGGCAAGATTTCGTTCTTTTCTTATGGCTGAATAATATTCCATTCTGTGTGTGTGTGTGTGTGTGTGTGTGATTGTACACAACACATCTTCTTTATCCATTCATCTATTGATGGGAATTTATCTTGTATCCATATCTTGGCCATTGTAAATAATGCTACAGTGAACTTACAGGTGTATATATCTATTCTAATTAGAGTTTTTGTTTTCTTCAGATAAATACCCAGGAATAGAATTGCTGGATCATATGGTAGTTCTATTTTTCATTATTTTTGAGGAATCTGCATACTGTTTTCCATAGTGGCTGCACCAATTTACATTCCCAACAGTGTGCAAGGTTCCCTTTTCTCTCCATCCTCATTGACAATTGCTGTCATTTTGGATAATGATAGCCATTCTGACAGGCACAAGGTAATATCTCATTGTAGTTTTGATTTACATTTCCCTGATTAGTGATGTTAAGCTTCTTTCATTGCCTGTTGGCCACCTGTATGTTCTTGTTTTTTAATGTAAGTATTTATAGTTATAAATTCCCATTATCACCACTTTCACAGGGTCCTAGAAGTTTTGGTGTGTTGCTTTCATTTTCAATAATCTCTAAATATTTTCTAATTTCCTTTGTGATTTCTTCTTTGATCCATTGGTTATTTAAAAGTGTGTTGTTTAGTATCCACAGTTTTGTATACTTTCCAGTTTTCTTTATGTTAGTGATTTCTGATTTTATCTTGTGGTAAGAGAAGATGCTTTGTATGATGTGTCTCAAAATCTATTGAGACTTAACTTGTGGCCTAATATACAGATTTTGGGCTCCAAAGTCACTGCAGATGGTGACTGTGGCCATGAAATTAAAAGACACTTGCTCCTTGGAAGGAAAGTTATGACCAACCTAGACAGCATATTAAAAAGCAGAGACATTACTTTGCCAACAAAGGTCCATATAATCATAGCTATGGTTTTTCCAGTAGTCATGTATGGATGTGAGAGTTAGACCATGAAGAAAGCTGAGCACTAGCGAATTGATTCTTTTGAACTGTGGTGTTGGAGAAGACTCTTGAGAGTCCCTTGGACTGCAAGGAGATCCAGCCAGTCCATCCTAAAGGAGAGTTAGACCATAAAGAAAGCTGAGCACTAACGAATTGATGCTTTTCAACTGTGGTGTTGGAGAAGACTCTTGAGAGTCCCTTGGACTGCAAGGAAATCCATCCAGTCAGTCCTGAATATTCATTGGGAGGACTGATGCTGAAGCTGAAACTCCACTACCTTGGCCACCTGATGTGAAGAACTGACTCATTTGAAAGACCCTGATGCTGGGAAAGATTGAAGGCAGGAGGAGAAAGGTATGACAGAGGATGAGATGGTTGGATGGCATTACCAACTCAATGGACATGAGTTTGAGTAATGTGTGCAGCACATTTGAGTAACTGTGCAACAATGAAGACCCAGTGCAGCCAAAAATAAACAAATTGATTAATTAAAGAAAAAGGAGCATACCACATATTTGAGACTATTGTCCGGGAGTTGGTGATGGACAGGGAAGCTTGGCGTGCTGCAGTCCATGGGGTCGCAACGACTCGGACATGGCTGAGTGACTGAACTGGTATAGAAAATGGAACAGAAAATGTTCCGTGTGCGCTTGAGAAAAATGCATTTGCTGTTGTTGGGTGGAGTGTTCTGTATGTCTGTTAGATATAACTGGTTTATTGTGTTGTTTAAATTCTCTGTTTCCTTGCTTATCTTCTGTCTGGTTGTTTCATATGTATATATGTGTATTTATGTATATATATATCTGAAACTACAAATTAAAAGAGCATAACACATGGACTTCCCTGGTGGTCCAGTGGTTAAGAATCCACCTGCCAGTGCAGGGGACACAGGTTCGATCCCTGGTCTAGGAATATTCCACTTGCTATGGGGCAACTAAGCCCATGTGCCACAACTACTGAAGCCTGCATGCCCTGCAACCTGTGCTTTGCAACAAGAGAAGCCACTACAGTAAGAAGCCTGCATAACACAACTAAGGAGTAGTCCCCACTTGATGAAACTAGAGAAAGCCACTGTGCAGCAATGAAGACCCAGTGCAGCCAAAAATAAACAAATTGATTAATTAAAGAAAAAGGAGCATACCACATGTTTGAGACTATTGTCCTAAAACAATCAACACCAAGATGTAGTCTGGTAAATTTATTGGTTAAAAAAAAAAAGAAAAAAAAAATAGGTAACTAGGCAAAAAAAAAAAAAGAATAATGGCTGGGTATAAGCAGTCCTCCTGCATCACAAGCCCCCAGCCAGGCATCCCTGGGGCTCTGATCCTGTGGGAACCAATCAGACCTGACCCCTCTGGTGGCCCCCACCCTCCCAGCACAATACCAGCAACCGACTGTCTGAGACAAGTGTGACCTTCCACGGAGGGGGTTTTCCTAAAGCGGGGCTGACTGGTGGAGCATCATTCTTCCTCATCAGCGCTGGGTGCTGTCACCCCCTGGTCCTCAGCATCCCCACATCCTCACTGCCCGTGAGAGAGGGCTGCTCAGGGGAGGGAGGAGAGGTAGCCAGAATGGGGGGCGGTGTCATTATCTGTGGAGGCAGCAACAAGCGATGGGCCCCACAGTCTGGTCTGGACAAGGACAGCCTTCCAAGCTGACCCACTGGCCCGACAGGCCTTGAATGCTAACCTCAAGGAGCCCTTTGAGAGCAGGCATCAGGGCGGGCTCTGAGAATGGCAGGAATGCGGTATCCAGCAGGGAGTGCCTGCAGCAGGCAGCCAGGGAGGCCCGGGCACGGGCACGGGGCAGGAGCCAGGCCACCCTCCGACTGGAGGCCCAACCACGGCTGTCAGGAGCCTCCTCCCATAGTCGGGCCCCACCCTGGATCACCAGACCCACCTCACACCCTCGCCAGAGGAAGAAGAGGGAAGGCCCACGCGGGGACCAGGAATTAGCCCTCAGGCTCGCCATCCTGTGGGAGCCCACAGGTCAAGGAGAAGGGAAGGGAACAGTGGCTGAGCTGAGGGGGCCCGGAGGCCAGAGAGACCGTGCCGCTGGCCCAGGTTTCTGGAGCTCAGCACCCTGCTCCAGCCCAGGACCACAGCCCGGACTTCCGTGAGAGCGTCCTGATCTTCAAAAGCCATCCGTCCCCTTCTCTCGGCTTCCCTGGGTCATCTCCTGCTCTCTACCCTACATTCCCTTGCTGGCCAAGGGAAAAGTCACTGACCTGGTAACTGGAAGGATCAGCCACCCACCATCCTTCCAGGTAGGACTCTGACCTCCAGGGGCTTTCAGCAATCAAAGCCTTAAACTGGAAGGAATGACTGTGGAACTCTGTGTCAGATCAGTGGACGGAAACCTTTCCCCTGGAGGAGGTGAGGGGCAAAGGAACAAATGTTTCATCATCGTCGCCTCTCTCAGAATGGCAGGGAGGAGGGCCCGGGAAGCCGCTTCTTGTATCCAGAAGCCCAGTTTATGGGGTGGCATGGGCCCGTGCTAAGGAAGGGTTGTGCTTGCTGTTGGGGTGCTGGCGACACTCGGCAGGGCAGGGCAGGGCAGGGCTCCAGACAGCTGCCTGATGGGGGAGAGCTGGTGTGCTGGGGCAGGTACCAGTACCCTGGTACCTGAGGTACTACTGAGGTGGTACTCAGCTCTCAGGGGCCTTGGAGGTGTGCCTCTCTTTATCAGCCATGGGAAGAGTGAGCTGTGTGCTGGGCCACTGGGGAGGGTCCTTCCACCCACCAAGGTCAGCCGTGGGTGGGAGGGGAGCATACCTCACGTGTGGAGGGAAGTAGCAAGAATAGAATGAAAGGGCATATGCAAATATAAATGTAAACTTTTCTCTTAATTATATCGCTGATTGTAGTATTCATATTCTTATGCTGGAGACTGTTGTGTATGCAATGTGGGATAGGGTGAGTAATTATGGAATACTCCTTATGTTCTTGAGAACTAGGATTCTCAGTGTGAAAAAGAAAAGAAACATGTAATATAAAAAGGTTACATAAACCCCTGTAGTCTTGAATTTGAAGTAGCAGTATAAATTATCTCTATTTCTATCTTTTAAGTATAGCTCTAGATATAAATAGAGATATAGCATAGATCTAGCTCTCTCCACTAAAGCGGCTTAGAAAGAATGACCAATCCAGTAGAAATGAGCATCCCAAGTGCCAGGTTGTGATCTTGAAATTCAATTTACCACTAAATACCATCTGAACTTTCTGAAGAAATGCCTCATTGTTTGGTGCAGGAAATGTAAAGATGAGGCTGGAACTCTTGCCATGCCAGATGGTAAGGCAGTGATCAGAACCTTTTAGGTTAAACGTTTAAATGACTCGGGCACAAGCTGAAGAGACTCCACTGTGATGATGGTACTGATCTTAGGTGGCCTTGGCCTGCAACTGCTTGAAGTGGAGCTTGGGTCCCCAGCTGGAGATTGAGGACAGATTGCAGCCGTCAGAGCACCAAATCCTAATCACTAGACCAGTGGTCAGTGACAAGGGCCTTAGCCTTTCAGCTATGCAGAAAATAATTGCCACAAAGACAGAAAGTAGTGAAACAAGTATTTATTAGGAGGTAAAAAAGAGTACAGTAAATGTAGATAGACATACAGGGAGACTCAGAGAGAGAGAGAGAAAAGAGAGAGGGAGGCTGATTTGTGTCAGTGTGGCAGTTTGAATTACTTTTATGAGGCACTGCTTCCTCCCATGTGTACACACGCATCTCTCCAAGATGGATTCTATCGCAAAGGCCTGTGGATAGAGCATCTCTTGACATCACTCCCCTTTGACCTCCAAGGAGCCTTTCTGTGCATGTGTGGTCAAGGAGGTCTTCTGACTTCGAGAATGAGAAATATTTGATTTGGGCAGGGCCCAGCCTCCTCCCTTAATTGTCTTGCTATGCTCATTTGACTTCCCTGCTGGCTCAGATGGTAAAACGCCTACCCGCAATGTGGGAGACCTGGGTTCAATCCCTGGGTCAGGAAGATCCCCTGGAGAAGAAAATGGCAACCCACTCCAATACTCTTGCCTGGAAAATCCCATGGATGGACAAGCCTGGTAGGCTACAGTCCATGGGGTCGCAAAGAGTCGGACACGACTGAGCGACTTCACTTTCACATGCTTATTTGAAAAGACCCTGATACTGGGAAAGCCTGAAGGTGGGAGGAGAAGGGGATGACAGAGGATGAGATGGTTGGTTGGTATCACCGACTCAATGGACATGAGTGAGTCAACTCTGGGAGTTGGTGATGGAAAGGGAGGCCTGGCGTGCTGCAGTTCATGGGGTTGCAAAGTGTCGGACACGACTGAGGGACTGAACTGAACTGATGCTCATCTTGGAGTTTCAGTCCAAAGGGAATAAATCTCCAATAGCTTTACTCTGGCCCACGGGGAGAGGTGGGTGGTCCATCTACTTCCTGTCTCAGTACAACAGATTTCAATATGAGCAAATATATTGTAGAAAATGGGAGCCATTTTGGAGAAGGTAAAATTTTAGAGGAGAAAACTAGGAAAGAATATGTAGTGTGAGTTGGAATTTGAAGTATTGGTAATAGAACATATATAATAAACTGTTGTTGTTCAGTTACTTCAGTTCAGTTCCGTTCAGTTGCTCAGTTAAATAAGTTAAATAAGCAGGGTGATAATATACAGCCTTGACATACTCCTTTCCGGATTTGGAACCAGTCTGTTCCATGTCCAGTTCTAACTGTTGCTTCCTGACCTGCATACAGATTTCTCAGGAGGCAGGTCAGCTTCAGCCACTAAGTTGTGTCTAACTCTTTGCAACCCCATGGACTGTAGCACACCAGGTTCCTCTGTCCTCCACTATCTCCCGGAGTTTGCTGAAACTCATGTCTATTGAGTCGGTGATGATATCTGACCATCTCATCCTCTGCAGCCCCCTTCTCCTTTTGCCTTTACTCTCTCTCAGCATCAGGGTCTTTTCCAATGTGTTGGCTCTTTGCATCAGGTGGTCAAAGTATTAGAGCTTCAACTTCAGCATTAGTCCTTCAGATGAATATTCAGGGTTGATTTCTTTTAGGACTGATTGGTTTGATTGCCTTGCTGTCCAAGGGACTCTCAAGAGTCTTCTCCAGCACGACAGTTTGAAAACATCAATTCTTTGGTGCTCAGCCTTCTTTATGGTCCAACTCTCACAACGTTATGTAACTACTGGAAAAACCATAGCTTTGACTAGATGGACCTTTATTGGCAAAGTGATGTCTCTGCTTTTTAAATTTGATGTCTAGGTTTGTTATAGCCTTCCATCCAAGAAGCAAGGGTCTTCTAATTTCATGGCTACAGTCACCGTATGCAGAGAGGGTAATGGGGCATCGTGTCGACAACTTGGTTTCAAATAACTTAGGGGTGGAGGTGGGAGAATAATACATAGGGTGAGAAAGAATGATAAGGTAAAAATGTCAACAATTTGGGGCTTTGGGTGGTTAGAGGGAATTATTTTGTACTATTTTTGCAACTTTATTGTAAACTTGAAATTACTGTAAAATAAAAGTAAAAATGTCACATTTGCAAAGACAATCTAAGCACATGGGGAAATATTCAAGTTACATGAATTATGCAGTTTACTAACATGTGCAGTATAACCTAAATTTTGTTGAATAAAAATTTAATTCAATAAAATTATATAGTTTTAGAAGGATTAAAAAAGTTAATTGTTATCTGTTAGTGATAGAGCCATGTTAAAGCAAATTAAATTTGGAGGACTTAAGCTACTAGATGCCAGGACAAGCTATACAAAGTGGCACAAAAATACATTAGTGGGACAGAATAGAGTCAGAATTGACCAATACATAACAGTCACCTTATTTATGACCAAGCTGCCAGGGAAATTCAGTGGGGACACAATTAAAAAAAAAAACATAGTGATCAATTGATACCCACAAGGAAAATAAGAACCTTGATTCCTATCTCACTTTATACATAAAAGATAATATGAAATTAATCATAGGCCTAAATGTGAAAGATAAATCTTACAGAAGAAAACATAGGAAAATATCTTAATTAGGGCAAAGAGTTTTTAAATAGGACACTAAAGGCTCTATCCATCAAAATAAACTTTTATAAATTATACTTATAAGAAATTCTTTAAAAGTACCATTAAGAAGGACTTCCCTGGTGGTTCAGTACTTAAGACTCCACGCTTTCACTGCAGCGGCACAGGTTTGATCCCTGGTTGGGGAACTAAGATCCCACATGCCATGCAGCATGGCCAAAAAAACCTCCCCCCCAAAAAAAAAACATTTTGAGCATGCTAACTTTTAATTATTTTTTTTCACATCTTTAGTTTTTATATTTTTTACTCATACAGATCTGGGTTTTGTTGCTTTCCGTAAAAGAATGAATTTGATTAAAATTTTAAAACTGTAGACCTCATGTGACATGTTGTCTGCTTTTCCGCCTTATTAAAAAAGCAGACTTCAGCTAGTCAACTTCACTCACACAAAAGTCACTGACTACACACTTCCTCCTGCCACTGAATCTTTAATTTCTTAATAGAATGCCCCAGTTTAACTGTATGTTAAAATGCAGATCTCAGGACCAATCTTGGACCTTTCTGGGAAAGTTTCGCCACAAAGTTACACAAAGAACAGTGCTAGGGTTTCAAATTCTCAGGGAAGACTATTCCTTCATACATCAACTGCCCTTTCACTGCCCTGCCTTCCGAGCCAAGCAGAGAACTTTTCTTGTCCTCTTAGTGCTAATGCATGGTTTTGAGTTTTTTGGTTCTTTTGTACTCTGCCCTTTTACTTAGGATGCAGCTCTTTTAACGTTTTCAACTTTATGTAGTGGTATATGGTATCAGTTTTAATTGCTCAGAGGCCCAGTCCAGTGTTTTGGTGTTAAAACAAAAATCTCCAAGCAAGGCTTCCAGGACCACTTACCTCTCTGTAAAGGTGATCATCAGCTTCCAAAGGTCACTGCCTTTTTCCAGTTACCCCTTCATTTCTGGTATCAGAAGATTCCCCACAATGATGTGATTTTTTTTTAAATTGAAGGATAATCGCTTTACAATGTTGTGCTGGTTTCTGCCATCTAACAATGGGAATCAGCCATAAATATATACATATGTTCCCTCCCTTTTGAACCTCCCTCCCACCCCCACCCCCAATCCCATCCCTTTAGACATCACAGGGTGCTAGGCTCCCTGTGTGTGATTTTTAATAAATGTATTATTTTATACATTTTTGTTTGTAGCAGGAGTACTGGCAGATGATTTTCATTTGCTATCTTGCCATTCCTAGAAACTGCCATATTAACTTTATAAAGTTACTTTAAAAATGCAAATGTACACTCTTATAATTTGCTTTCCAATAGCTAATGATTGGCCAAATAGTCTCTTGGAAAGATTAATGAAAAACTTTTCACTACTTTCTCAGGGAAAGCTAATGAGGGTATTGTCTCCAAATATGGACAGACTGACTGAAGGACTGGGCCTGGACACTTTCTTTTTCACCAAGTATGGTCATCCTTCTTTGTCTTCTGTCCAGACCTCTGATTCTATCTGGAATCTGACCCTGCTTCTGACCACAGCACCTACTTGGTAAACTGGTTCCCAAAGAACCTGCTTGGTCCTGGGTTACTTCTTCATTCATTTACTCATTTAATAATCTATCATTACAAAAACTCAGAGAAGCTTACCTCCTTTCCTGGGAGCAACAAGCCATAGCAAGACAACCACATTTGGTAGATGACTTATTTACTCAATACCTATTTATTGCTCATCTACTATGTGCCAGGTCCCGGTCAACTGATGAAGATAAAGTGGAGGGTAAGATAGTCATTGCCCATTCTCTCATGGAGCGGATAATGAAATCGTCAAAACAAAAACCTCATGAGCACCTAGTATATTTAGATCCACTGTGAGGAAAACAAGATGACAGGGTCTTCATTTCACATGCTACTAAGGTTATGCTCAAAATCCTCCAAGCTGCGATTCAATAGTACGTGAACTGAGAACTTCCAGATGTATAAGCTGGCAGAGGAACCAGAGATCAAATTGCCAACATTTGTTGGATCATGGAGAAAGCAATGGAGTTCCAGAAAAACATCTACTTCTGCTTCGTTGGCTCCACTAAAGCCTTTTACTGTGTGGATCACAACAAACTGGAAACTTCTTAAAGAGACAGGAATACCAGACCATCTTACCTGTCTCCTGACTGGTTCAAAATTGGGAAAGGAGTATGTACATGGTTGTATACTGTCACCCTGCTTATTTAACTCATATGCAGAGTACATCGTGTGAAATGCCAGACTGGATGAATCACAAGCTGGAATCAAGATTGCCAAGAGAAATATCAATAATCTCAAATATGCAGATGATATCACTATAATGGCAGAAAGTGAAGAGGAACTAAAGAGCCTCTTGATGAGGATGAAAGAGGACAGTGAAAAAGCTGGCTTGAAACACAACACTCAAAAAACTAAGCTCATGGCATCTGATCCCATCAGTTAAGTTCACTCAAGTCAAGTCGGACTCTTTGTGACCCCAGGCTTCCCTGATCCCATCACTTCATGGCAAACAGAAGGGGAAAAGTGGAAGCAGCCAACAGATTTCATTTTCTTGGGCTCAAAATTACTGCACATGATGACTGAAGCCATGAAATTAAAAGAGGCTTGCTTTTTGGAAGGAAAGCTATGACAAACCTAGACAGTATTAAAAAGCAGAGATATCACTTTGCTGACAAAAGTCCATATAGTCAAAGCTATGGTTTTTCCAGTAGTCACGTACAGATGTGAGCACTGGACCATAAAGAAGGCTGAACACTAAAGAACTGATGCTTTCAAATTGTGGTGTTAGAGACGACTCTTGAGTGTCCCCTGGACAGCAAGATTAAACCAGTCTATCCTAAAGGAGATCAACCTGAATATTCATTGGAAGGACTCATGCTGAAGCTCCAATATTTTGGCCACCTGATGAGAAGAGCTGACTCACTGGAAAAGGCCCTGATGCTGGGAAAGATTGAAGGCCAAAGAAGGGGGTGGCAGAGGATGAGATGGTTAGATAGCATCACTGACTCAATGGACATGAATTTGAGCAAACTCTGAGAGATAGTGGAGGACAGAGGAGCCTGGTGTGCTGCAGTCCATGGGGTGGCAAAGAGTCGGATACAACTTAGTAACTGCACAACAGCAACAATGAGGAACCTAGGCTTTAGGAAGATGGGGTGACATTCATGAAAATCTCCTATATTAGAAGAGTTCAGTTCAGTTCAGTTGTTCAGTCGTGTCCAACTCTTTGCGGACACGCCAACTCTTTTGGACTGTAGCACACCAAGCTTCCCTGTTCATCACCAACTGCTGGAGCTCGCTCAAACTCAAGTCCATTGAGTCGGTGATATCATCCAACCACCTCATCCTTTGTCATCCCCTTCTCCTCCTGCCCTCAATCCTTCCCAGCATCAGGGCCTTTTCAAATGAGTCAGTTCTTCGTATCAGATGGCCAAAGTATTGGAGCTTCAGCTTCAACATCAGTCCTTCCAATGAATATTCAGGACTGATTTCCTTTAGGATCAACTGATTTGATCTCCTTGCAGTCCAAGGGACTCTCAAGAGTCTTCTCCAACATCACAGTTTAAAAGCATCAATTCGTCAGTGCTCAGCTTTCTTTATGGTCCAAGTCTCACATCCATACATGACTACTGGAAAAACCATAGCTTTGACTAGATGGACCTTTGTGTCTGCTTTTTAACATACTGTTTAGGTTTGTCATAGCTTTTCTTCCAAGAAGCAAGAGTCTTTTAATTTCATGGCTGCAGTCACCGTCTGCAGTGATTTTGAAGCCCAAGAGAATAAAGTCTGCCACTGTTTCCATTATTTCCCCTTGTATTTGCCATGAAGTAATAGGACCGGATGCCATGATCTTAGTTTTTTGAAGAAGGAGGTTTGGTATTCCCATCACTTTAAGAATTTTGAATGTTGAGTTTTAAGCCAACTTTTTCACTCTCCTCTTTCACTTTCATCAAGAGGCTCTTTAGTTCCTCTTCACTTTCTGCCATCAGGGTGGTGTCATTTACATATCTGAGGTTATTGATATTTCTCCCAGCAATCTTGATTCCAGCTTGTGCTTCATCCAGCCCTGCATTTCACATGATGTACTCTGCATATACATTAAATAAGCAGGGTGACAATATACAGCCTTGACTTACTCCTTTCCTAATTTGGAACCAGTCTGTTTTTCCATGTCCAGTTCTAACTGTTTCTTCTTGACCTGCATACAGATTTTTCAGGAGGCAGGTAAGGTGGTCTGGTATTCCCTTTAAGAATTTTTCAGGTTACTGAAGAGTAGAGGAATAATTAGCTCCGTGCTAGGCCCTCCCAGAACCTGCAGTTTATCTGCTCTCCATAGTCAAGCTCTCCTGCTCAATTGTTGCCTTTGTCTCAGTCCATACACTGGAATGTTGCAGTCCTGCTTTTACGTTTGTGCACACCAAATCAGTCTTTAGTTGCTAGGATCAACCTCATTATTTTCTTAAATATTTACCTGTTTGGTTTTTTTTTTTTTTTGCCTTTCCTTAGTCCTTGAATGAGTTCCTCCATTAGAGTTCGAACAGAATAGTTTAATTCTAACCTCTGGGCAAAAACAATTTGTTCTAACTACGCAGCTAAAATACAGTCGACCGTACAATACCAGTTTTACGCATCGGATTTAAGTATCCGCGTATTTTGGTATCCACGAGGGGCTCCTGGAAGCAATCCCCTGCGGATACCATGGACGACTGTATGCAGTTTCTCTGAGAGTTCAGTGAAATTCCCCTTCCCGAACTAATTCTATGAATGACTGATATAAACCCCACTACTGCACGGTGGGGTGTACCAGGAACCCTTGGTAACTTCTCTCAACGTACCAACTTTTAGAGGAAGTCATCGTTGGGTTCCTAGTATGCCTTCGCAGGCATGTTCGCCACGAAAAGCCAGAAGCGAGGAGCACAAAGGAAGCTGACCACTCAAAGACAGGCCGTTTCCTGGTGAGGAGTACGAGGCTGGGGCGAGTCTGAAGAGGCTGCTCGGAAAGGGTCCTTGCCGAGCGACGACTGGTCGAAGCTGGAGACCCAGGGCCGAGAGTTTGGAAACCGGCGTTCCCATCTGTAGTGCCGTAAGGACCTGGCGTAACTTGCGGACTCTGCATGCGTGCCAGGACATTGCGGGAATCGCGGGGCTGTAAACATCACACCTGGGACCCATCTGTCAATGCAGGAGACAAAAGAGACGCCGGTTCGATCCCTGGTTCGGGAAGATCCCCTAGAGCAGGGCATGCAACCCACTCCAGTATTCTTGCCTGGAGAATTCCATGGACAGAGGGGTCTGGCGGGCTGCAGTGCGTGGGGTCGCAAAGAGTCGGACAGGACCGAAGCGACTTAGCACGCGCGCACGCAAACCTCACGTCAGACCTCGTTCCGGTGACCTGCGCCTTGGAAGACTGACTGATACATAATACTCTCACAAGAAAGCAAGAAGACACCCTCGCGCCCGGACTTTCAAACTGTAGAGGAGCCACAGCCCTGGAAACCGGAAGCTTTACAACTAGCGCCCCCTTGCCGGCCGGTTATTTATAAAGGGGCGGGGGTTGGGTGGGTGGGGGAGCGGCCTCAGGAACTGCAACTCCCAGAATGCAGCGCGGAGCTTCCGGTTTCCGGCGAGAGGACCTGAGTGAGTGTTTACACCGGCGGCCCTGCGGCCGGGTTCCTTCCGCGGGACGGGTGAGGGCGCTGGGTCCCGGGCCGCGCGGGATCGACCTGTGGTGACTAGTTAGCTGGTTCTGTGGGAGTGGTGGGGTCGTCACCCAAGAGATAGTGTCCCTGTCGCAATATTAACTATCAGTGACCTTGGGCCGCTGACTTCACCTTTCTAGATCTTGGTTCCTTCGGCTGTAATATGTAGATGATAATGCCTGTCTCAGAACAGTTGTGAGGATTAAATGATATATAGTGTATCCATATATAGCAGATCCATTTCCTTCCCTGCCATTAACCTGGAGCTGGAAAGTTTGAGGGTGCCTTAGGATCTGCTGCACAGCCTCGAAGCCTTTTCTTTCCTCTTCCAAAGAAGCCACTTTGGAAGCAGTAATGATTCTAACAAGGCCTTGTCTTGTCTTAATTCTCCCAACCGCCCGGTTTCTGATTCATTTTCTGGGTACCCATAAGTACCGGGCATTTAGTCAATAAAGACAAAAAATTCTAGCCTTTGCTTTCAAGAGCCTCTAAGAATGAGATGCAGAGACGATTGAGAAGTAAATAGTGTAGATATTTGTAACCCTTTGTCATGAGGGACTGTGACAACAACAGAGGGGGGAGACAGAACAGAGGAGGTTGTGTTTTAGTTGCTCTTGATCAGAGTTTGCTTAGAGAGGGAAGAGGGGTTATATGCAGAGTTAGCAGCTGAGCAGAGTGGGGGAGAACTTTGTTATGAATCCAGGCTTGGTGGGGGTGGACTTAAATGTTGGGGAGGGTGGGGCAGCCCAGAACTCTTGAGAGGGGAAGGCTGGTAGAGAGAACAGATGTGAATATTTTTGAAAGACAGGCTGTGGCTTTTAGACTTATTCATAGAAGTGGTTTGATTTCTAAACAAAGGAGTGTCTTGATCAGATCTGCATTTTAAAATGAGTGGCAGCGTGGATATTTAACAGGGAGAAGCAGGAGGCAGGGAGCTTCTGGTAAAGCTGTTGTGGTGGTTAAAGCAAAAGTTGATGAAGAAACACAGAGTCTATGTAAGGGAGAGGGTTGGATGATCTCATTTGAACCTCACAACGCACCTGTTAGGTGGGATGGCATTTTTATGTCCACTGTAAAGCCAAAGGGGCTTAGAGAGCTGAAGTTTCTTGCTGCCATAGAATGAGTGAAAAGCGGACCTCAGATTCTAGTTCAGGCCTCCGGATGCTGCATCCTGAGCTTTTCCAACAGAGTCACAGAGAATTCTCATTCAACCCTGTGGTGGGGTGTGGGTGGTGTAGGTCTGTCCTTTAACCACTAAGGCTTTGTTCCTTTACAGGGAGAAAGAGAGAGCGCGAAAGAGAGAGGATGTCTCTCTCAGATTGGCACCTGGCAGTGAAGCTGGCTGACCAGCCACTTGCCCCCAAATCTATTCTTCGGTTGCCAGAGACAGAGCTTGGAGAATACTCCCTGGGGGGATATAGTATTTCATTTCTGAAGCAGCTTATTGCTGGCAAACTCCAGGAGTCTGTTCCAGACCCTGAGCTCATTGGTGAGTCTCTGTGAACTGGGGATGGGCTTCTGCTCTGA